TCAGTGCTATAAAAAATAATAAATGGAACAAACATGTCATGCTTTATGTAACGTGCCTAGAGCTTTCCAAACATTCTTAGGCTTGGGCTTTATTTTTTTAAACAGACTACACTCTGATTTCATTGCAATGTACCAGTCATTGTACTTTTCTCAGAACCAATTTGTCAGGCCCAGCCCAAGAACAACAGTGAAACAGTCCAGTTGAGTCAAGTTCCTTTATTTGCTTACATCATATAGACAGAATCTTGCCGGTCTAAATCTATACTCCTGCAATTAGTGGATATACCCTGGGAGATTCTGGGGAGTGGCTATCCTGGACCTCTTATGCTTCCCACGCTCCTCCTGCGGACTGTGTTGTCTCTTGTCTCCTTTCCCCTCCTGGAACGCGCCCGCTCCCTCCTGATAGCCTTGCTCTCTCCCATCACCCTCCTCTTCGTAGATACATTCCCTCACACAATTATCCTCCACCTTCATTAATGAGTTCCCAGGTCTCTCAGGCAAAATCACTTTGCCTTCAGTTGTGCTGCACTAGCCTGCAGAATAAAGTTTAGGCAAGATCAATTCCCTATTGACAATTATATTCTCTCTTATTTAATAGAGAAATATATTAAGAAAGGAATCTGATTATATGTTACTTTTCTTTGGTTTAAGAACTGCATTTTATTTGAATCCCTCTTTATAATATTGGGCCAAAGTTGCTTCCATTCTATTCATGCCTTTTTTTTTTTTTTGACTGAGGCATTATATGCCTTCTCTTTTTTAGTAATGTTTTTAATTAATGTTTTATGTATTTATATCTACTTATGTTTTTAATGTTTGTTGTGAATCGCCCAGAGTTCCCCCATTGGGAGGAGATGGGCAGTTGAAAAATTTAATAAATAAGTAAAATAAATATGAAAACATTTCAGTCAAATTGCATGCAAAGATATGTCTATTTTGATCAGGGGAGTCCAATAAGGTTGTATTCTAGCTTCTATGCTTCAAAATGTTTTTTAAAAGATATTGTTACCCCGATAACTCATTTAAAATTCTTTGCTCTGTATTAGGCAGAAAAGAGTATCTGAAACAGCGATAGAATATTAGTGATCAGAAAGTTTGTAGCTATCATTCATCTGAGAAATGTAAAGAAGTAGGGTTTTTAAGGCACATGAAAAAGTTTAAGTGGTTAAAATGCAAGCTATTTTTTGGGTCCAATTTTTGTATGGGACAATTTTCTGGGGAATAAAAGAATAAAATTCTTGCTTAGAATCAACCCAAGCAGCCTTTTAAAAATAGACAACAAGGGTTTACCTTGGTCTCTGTGTGTTGCACTTCAGCCACCGCAGAAGCCACCTTGTCTTCCAGCTCAGACAGTGCTGAATCTGTCGTTGCGCTGTGATGGGCTTGGTCATCTACGTCCCGTAGCCTTTTCTGCAATCCACAGACATTCTCCATAGGAATAGATACCTGCAGCCAACAGTACTAGTTACTTTCCAGCTAGATTATTGTCAAGGATCTCTTTGAACTCTAGATCAACATGATGTCAGTTCAGCAGTAGGGAAAAAGGTATTTTCTCAGCTACAGGTTATTAGGAAAGGGAATGACAATAAAATTGCCAGCACCACATCGCTCTCCAAAACCCTAGTCCATAACTACATTTGGAATAGTGTGGAGCAGGTTAATTTCAAGGATATAAGGATGCTGAAAGGAAAAATATGACTTTTTAGTTAGAAAAAAGATGATCCAGTGGTGATGGTGAGCTATGTATGACAATGATTCAAGGTTGGACTTAGAAATGATTAGGTTAATCTAGTTATCACTCCAACACCACGTACAAAAATAAACTTGTGGCAATTAACTTTAAAATGTCTTCTTCCTCATCCCACTTTCCGATTTCAGACAGAAACAGTCAGAACCTAATTGGACTTCTCAAACACATTTACTAAGTTATCAGCATCACAAAGAGTCAACAGCTGAGGGGTACAATACTTTGGAAAAAGTGCCTTGCTTCAGTGGTTCTTTAAGGAAAGCCCTGGGTTGAACAAAAATTGCAAGTGAAGCCATCCCCCTTTCTAACCAGCTCCAAAATAGAGGCTTTTGTGCATTTACAGCACAAAAGTCCCTTCCTTTGAGGTGAGGTCCCTGGTCAGAATAGATCAGCCTCACCAGATGCTTCATGCAGCAGAGTGCCTTGCCTCGGCCTTCAAGCCTTAAGATGAGGCAGGTCATCTCTGCTATGCCAAGTACCGTATGGCCTTCAGGCAGAGCACCACCACACCCCAACCAAGGATATGTGGTCAGTGTCCTATGAATCATAAAAGGAAGTTGGGAATCTGAGAAAAGGGGGCAACGAAAGTGGGCCTAGTCCCCAAGGGACTGTTATCATCTTCAAGCCAGTCTAGGGGAAAGGCCAGATAGAGGGGATTTTCACTTGTCTCTCATATTTAATAGAACTCTTAACTAAGTACTATTTACTTATAAAAATATTTCTGAATTGTTGGGCTTACTAGGCTATTATAAATGTACCATTAAAGCTACCTTTTTAAAAAACAGGAACTTCTTAACGTCAGATCAGACACTGGAATTTAAACACTATTAAACAAAAGTGTTTATAACCAATATTGCCTCCTGAGTGAAGGAGTGGAGCAGGATGATGTTATGGAAAAGACCTTTTTCCCACGTCTTACTGGCCAAACTTCTCTTGGTTGTGGAACCTATAATAGCGTGTCCAATTAAAACTGTCAAGTCCAAGTAGGTTCTTGGCCTCATATTGGCTATGACCGCGGCTCCCAAAACATGCTCACAGGGGCTCTGTGAAATATTTACTACTTAATAAACAGAACTATTGGTGAGTTCATTGTGGTGCCCCAGGGCACCACAGTGGAGTTTGAGAACCACTAGGGGCCCTGTGAAGTGAGAAAGTTTGGGAACCTCTGGGTTAAGGCTTTTTAAGTAATCCAAAGTCAACATCTTCAGTTGGACTCAGAAACAAAATCTAGTAGAAATAATGTAAGACTGTATTGTTTAGGGTACAGAATTTGGTTACTGTTGTTTTTAACCAGGTGTAGTTTTGAATATTCTTTATAGGTCAGTGCAGCATAAAGCCAAAATTTGCAAGATGGCACCTGCTTCCCCCTTATCTGGTTTAGGGGTGGTGATGTTTGCATTAAAATACTTAAATAGAAAGGCAAGTCTTTTTGGACTGCAGGTGGGGCCCTGTTAACTTGATGGGTGGGTACCACCTTTGTGTTAGAAATATCCAACAGACTGTTTGCCAGGGCAGTGGTATTTTAAGCAGATTCTGCCCTCCTTAAATGCGTTCTGCAAGATGTTCTCAGAATTCTAAATCAGCCCACTAGGGCAAAAACGTTTTGCATAACACATCTAAATGACGGGTGATTAAGACTTTGGCCAGATCATTTTCTTCAGAAAGAACGGGCATTTTAACCAAAGCTATAAAAATATTCCTAGTTGCATTAGCCACTTGATCATCCATGAACAGTGTTGGATTCAGAAGGTACACAATCTACAATTCTCAGCTTTCAGAAGGAACCCAATCCCATCCAGGACAGGCTGTTCTCCCAGTCATGACAATGCTTCACTGTTATCTTACTTAACCTCTTTGTCTGAATTGCACCTTGGGTTATTAGCCCATAGGCAATCCAACCCTCAGTCCAGATTGTAAACCAGAGGGTTTCCTGGTCAACTTGTCATGATTGTCATGAAGTGTGTATGTCTGTGTGTATAGTTTTGTGACTGACAGATCATAGTGAATAGTTTCATCAGAACTGCCCAATCAAGTGTTGTGAGGCAAGGATACCGATGTGATTTGTTTGATACTAAGTGCTCTTTGCTAATTCAGTCTCCTAGAGCAGGAATATTGAGAGCTGCAATGGAATTTGTGACACCTAGGTGGAATTTTGTTCAGGAAAGTGTTAGATGTTCAAATTCTTCTGCCTCTGTCATTGCATGCTAGGTGCATCCATTATTCTATTACACTTATGACCCTAGTGCCAATTGAACTCCAGAAAGTTCACATTTTTAGAGCTAAATCTCCTCTATGCAGGTATTATGTCCTTTTTATAATAATTATACAGAAGTGTAAGATAAGAGAGCACAACCTTTTCCAGCCTGTGGTTCACACTTGTCATTTGAATGTCATATTGGAAGTGGCACCCCAAAAACCAACAGGGGCAGACCAAAGAGGTGGATAAGGTCCAGTTGAGAACTAAATACCATTCCATTCCATTCCCATCATATGATTATGCCCACTGGTTTTGAAGACCCTCACATTGTGGGGTATTCGCATTAAAAGATCTGCACTTTTATCATTTGAAACTTGAAAAAAATCATCCCATCAGATGTATATGCCTGCAAACACCATCCAGGGTACTCAAGAATACAGTTATCAACAGTTCTCTTTTTAAAACAAATAAAAATGTAAATTCAGTATCCTACTAATTTCTCCAATATCTGGTAAACATCACCCTTCCTTAGGAGCAAATATGCTTTCAAGTATGATCCAATTCTATCAGACAGAAAAAAAGGTACAACTATTTGTTAACTTCTAGTAACAGACAATAGGATGCAGAGTTTTTGATTTCAAAAACCAAGATTTGGTTGGCTGCCAAATTGCTTTGAAATGAAACGGTTTTTTACAAGTTACTGTATTAGGATCTGAATTGAATCTTGTGGCGAATGTGAATCCCAACTCATCCTACACTGCAGCAATTTAAAGCACTTTACATATCCCAGAAAATCTAGCAACACACCTATGACATAAACAACTTTATTACATCCATATTGAAGAGGATGGGGTCAATGTTGAGAACAAGAATTGTTTGCATAAGGCAACCTAGTAAATTCAAGACTGTTCTGAGATTAAAACTTGGGACTTCCTGATATTTTGGCCACCACAAAACAGCTGGCTTCCTCTTTCCCCCACATGCTTAATTTTATGGATTTGATACATACATGAGAGCGCCAGTTAAAGTTCTGGACTAGGAGTGGGGAGACCTGGCTTCCAGTCCTTCCTTAGGCACAGAAGCCAATTGGGTGATTTTGGGCCACTCTCTCTCTCCGTCCTAGACTGGGGGGAAAAATCCATCCACCAAACTGTAGTGGACCAACGCAGTACAGTCCATAATCTTCAAGAGGCCTTCATCCAGCAGAAGATTGATTTGGGACACAGAGTCTATACACACACATTACGTGATTCCTATATTATACTTTGTCATGACATGTTTTCAAACTTTTAAGATCAAAGTAGTTTGTGGAGTCTGACTGTCCTTATTGTTGTAACAATCTATTCCAAGGTGGGCAGTATTTTTCCCTCCAGTTCTCCAGATGGTACTGAACTAAAACTCCCAACTTATTCATCATTAGCTACACTGGTTGTAATTGACACTTCGGAGACAACTTGTGGGAGGAAGGAGACACACGTTGTACACCTCTGATCTCAGCTGTACTTTCATGTATTTATTTCTGGTACTTCCTAGGCTTGGGTCACCTTCTTCCCCTTTCTCAAGCTCTACAGAAGACGGAATCATCATCCAATGTCCTCATCCTTTCAAGAAGACATTCAAGGCTTTCTATATTGTCTGAATGGGTCTCAAGTGCTTTGGCTGTGATGCCACAAAAAACCCTGGCTGGTGATCTCTATGAGCTTTATGCTCAACCAGCAAGTTACTTTGTGTGCAGCAGAATGGAAATGGGGGAATGAGAGAAAACAGGAGGCAAGGAAGATGTGCGGTTGCTTTAATTAAAGGGTTCATTGTCCATGGAGGACTCTTAACCTGAAGAAGAGGAACGGCCAGATAACACATTGATCCTGGATAATGCTTCACAGAATAAAGCAGTGACAAAGGCACTACCTCAAAATGCAAGTGAAAAGCTCTCATTAGGTAATGGCTTCTGCATGAGAACCACTTTTGGCCTCACAGGCAGAAGACATGAAGGGACCGTTCATGGTGACCATCCACATTCAGCGTGTTACATTTTATTTGGGTCAGCCTGCTCTTGAGAAAGCCAGATGGTGTCTCAGGAACCAGATATCCACATGGGGGAACAGAACTGGGAAAACATATGCGAATTCACACATTCCACATACTATATATTCAGACTTTAACCCCAACCTTCAAGTACTGAATTTGTGTAAGTATATTGGTAAAAAAATATAATTTTTGATTTTTATTTCCTAAGGGTAGTACCACATACTTGTCTTAATATATTGAATAATAATGTGCATTTGCATTATAATGCAAATAGTTTCTGGCTATCTCTTTGAGTTTAAAACCAAACATTTTCTTCCCAAAAATTCAAATTAATCTTGTTTCAGATCTAGAAAGTGCAGTGAATACATAGTTGGGTGGGATACAATGATATAAGTATGTACTGTATATGATCCAGTGCCTTACCTTGCCTTTCTTTTGAGCTGGGCTGGAACACAGTCCCCAACAGATTAATCT